TTGGGTAGTGAGGTTGGTTGTCAACTTGCACCTCCTACATATAAGTTATAGTGTGAACGTCTCAACCAGCAATCAAAGCGAATCTTTAAATTTACTAGACAGATAAAATATGATAGTCCAAAGTTCTATTTTACATTTGGATAATTCTTATTGATGGATGAACTTACAAATTCTTTTATCCAGGTCTCTTCAGATTTGAGTATTGTTGACCTTGATGTTTCATTTGGATTGATGTTTGTTGCGGGTGCGAGCATAAATACATATAGAAATCTGGTGGTATTGGCTGTTGTTACATGGAAAGTTCTATTCGTAGTTAACACTGCTCATGTGTTTCTACCATCCATTTCTACAGAATACATGTTTATGTTATATATGCTGTTTATAATTTTTTTATTACGAATTATGAAGATCACTACTGCTCTGAGAGAATGTGGTCTTTAGTCATCAAATCTAATTCTTTGTATTGACTTCACTAAAAAACAATGAGTCATCAGGTCACAAGTGATTTCATTCTTCTTGCTACTTCATGGCTTTCTTTCTGCTGTCTGTTTATAATTTTTTATTTCGAATTATGAAGATCACGGCTTTCTTTCTGCTGTCTGTTTATAATTTTTTATTTCGAATTATGAAGATCACTACTGCTCTGAGAGAATGTGGTCTTCAGTCATCAAATCTAATTCTTTGTATTGACTTTACTAAAAAACAATGAGTCATCAGGTCACAAGTGATGTTATTCTGCTTGCTACTTCATGGCTTTCTTTCTGCTGTACTTAAGATCATCCTGCCAGACAGCTAGAAAATTATAAGGCAATATGTGGAGGCCATTATATGACTACTTTTATAGATACAAATTTACACAATATGCTTATAGATACAAATTTTCACTTCACTTGTCATTTGTTTGTAGATCATGATGATAAGCATGAAAAACATGTGAGCAACAAAAAATGCCGTTTCAAGCAATGTCCCATTTTTAGTGGAAAGAAAAATTATGGCTAGGTGGCGTCCACCACATGCCAAGCCTCCATTTGTGGATTTGTAGGTATGGTTATTGGGGAATTCACTGAGGGAATCCACTGTTCCGTTTCTTGCTTATTATGCCGTGCAGCCCGTGCTCCTAGGATATATTCGAATGACCCTTTGTAATCAGAACCCAAATTTGCTATGGATTCTCTTGTTGAATTAGAAAGTAAGATATGCATTTATCAATGTGCGGTAATCAGTCTGAGAATGTTGCATAGTAGATAAGGTCAAATACTGCACTTACGTACCTCTGCTTTTTTCTTCGTGTCTGGATTTACCAAGCACCTATCTTCAGTGTTCAGATCATAATTATCTTTAGTGGATTAATTGTGCATGCTTATTCTTGCACTACTAAACAGTTTTCTTTATGATTTATTATTTTCTTATACTTATATTATCATGGTATTATGGCTTTATGCACCCACATGACTTTTCTAATACTTCTACATGCTACTAACCAGAATCAAGTTATAATTGAGATTTTCTTATTAAAATAAATTCAGACGGCACAAATGAGGGGCATAGGGATTAACTCCTATGTCCAAATATTGACACTGACTGTATTGCAGGTTTTGTATGGCCATAATAGTGATCAGCAGCACCCGGCACTACAAATGGTTTCTAATCTCTGAATTCAGTAACACTTGCCCTAGAAAGAGCAGGGGAAGAAAAATATACGCTTTTAAACAAGGTATTGGTGTTTCTGACCTGCATGGTCACGAATTTACTTGAAGGCAACATGAACTCGAAATAAAGATCTGGAATTGGGAGAAATGTTCCTATTATCTAGAATTCTCTGTAGTAGTTCATATTTTTCCTGCAATAACTAAAGGTAACCTGTCTGATTTTGTTACCTAGGTTTGTCACTTAAATGAGCTTAGAATTCTCTGTAGTAGTTCATACTTTTCCTGCAATAACTAAAGCTAACCTGTCTGATTTTGTAACCTAGGTTTGTGACTTAAATGAGCTGTCCAGACTCCAGAAAGGAGGTTGATGAGATACTAAAAGTATGCATGAGGCAAGATTGCATCTCTCCCAATGATAATATCTGTAAGAAGTAAAGCTCTTATTTTGGTCTCAGATTCATTTGCAATATTTTTTTTGGTTTTGACGCTGGCTGATTTTGTGTACCTAATCCTTCAACAATATGGTTTGTATCATGTTTTTAATTTGCTGGAGGTGCATTGCAATCACAGATGGCAACTGAGACATCTTATAACCCTTCTACTCCAAATAGCGGAATGTGCCATTACCATTCAGCTTATTCATTTTTAGGACGAGTGAGAATGCTTATCAGTTTAACTAAAGGTTATATAGCTCACTATTCTGTTCCTACATTAGAAAGTCCCATTCCGCATTGCATAATAGTTATATGATAGGATCCTCAGCAGTGCTTTTTCTTGTATAAGTTGGTGATTTTCACCTTTCAAAGGAAGGGCCATGCTATTTTGTTTTATGAAAAATAATGCTTGCTACTTATGTTTTTGCCCCTCATGCAGCTCGGCATTGATACTGTCCCAGTGCTTCTGCAAAAGGTCTTTCCTCATTTCCTGATGAACTCCTTCCTGTGCTGGAGAGACTAGAGCATTTGAAAGAGGTAAATGTCATATATGTACTATATTAGTATATACTAGGGCTTTAGGAGGCTGCCATGGCGTTCTCAATCTGCTTTCATTCTCTTGGCACCTAGAAATTAGGCGTGTAATGCTGGGATATGCTGCTACACTATCAACAACAAATTGAATTATCTGCATTTGGCTCAATAACTAAACATAAATTTAAAACGAGCAAAGATGCTTTCACATAGATTATGCTAATTTATTTGGTCTGGAGAATTAAAACCTTCTATTTTATTGGACCTGCAGAACAAAGTTGACAGCGAGTGGTTGAAGTGGAGAAGCACGAGCAGTGGATACTCCATTGATCTCTTGTGTGATTTTGGTGTTTGTGTGGATCTTGGCTTGTGAAATATTATTACTATATCAATTGGATGACTTCATCAGAGACATGTCCGTTTTGAAAGAGTTTTGTGAATTAATCTTATTTGTTATTGTTTACCTTCCAACTTGAAGAATTCATTGAAAAGCATCCAGCAGCATATTTTACATGAACCCTTTTATCTTGATTTTTGCAAATACTAGGATAAGATCAACAAATGTTTTGTTTTGTAGACACGTGCGGCACGCAGGTGCATGTTCACTAGTATTTAACAAAACTTGGTCCTTTGTAAAACAAGGGTGCTTTGTAAAACAAGGGTGTATACTTAACAAAGTGATATATGGGATCGTTTTTTAAAACCTGCCTTTTTACATCTTTTGCCAACAAAAGTCATTTGTGTGTGCAGGATAGCAAGCTCTGCTCTGAATTGACGGATCATACGATCAGATAGAGAGCGCACAAACTGACCCGGAAGAACTATCCATGTAAAGTGCGTGTAAAGAGAATCACCATAAAAAAATTATTGATGCATGGACACTCGGAAAAGGAGAAGAAAAGGATAGATGCAATGGAGCACTAGTATATGTTCCAATGAACCATAAGTATCTAGCAATTTTTTTCACATGATTCCACATTCCCATGCTCCAACCATGCAAATAACATTAAAAAAGAGTACATACATGCCTTAACTGCTAAAACAGTAAGCATCACACACTTTTAACCATGGGCGGAGCTATATTCAAAGTACTGGGTGCGGGCCACTGAAAACACAGTAGAAAGAGGTATATTTTCACTGTATTTACATCAATACGTCATGTTCGTTTGGGATTGTTTGACTTATAAGTCGTACTTTTTCAGTTAACGAATAGTATTTTTCTCTCACACCAAATCAGTTAACATTACTTTCAACCATGATTTATCAGCTAAACAAACAAAAACGAACAGAGCGATATATCATAGATCATTGCATCCACGGGGCAAGATGCACCCTCTCGTGTTTGCTCAAGCTCCACCCCTGCTTTTAACAACCTATCCCACCAACGGTTACGTATATCTCAATATATACACACCTACCATACCAAACAGGCTGTAGTTGCCTGAGTTGAGCAGATACGTATACGCGTACGGTCTACGTTGCAAGTGCAACGACGACATCCGTCACCCTCGCCCAACCCAACCGACAGGCTGGTGACGCAGCTCCGCGTACGTGCAGACAGCGACCACATGGCCGCCGCCGCATCCGCGCGGCCGCATCCGCATCCACGCTGATCGGTGGCTCACGACAGCCTTCACTGACGGGTGACTGGTTTGTTGGTTTCATAAAAAATAATCGTGTTTTTACAAAAAAATACCAGCAATTTAAATAAACCAGCTAACAGCCCCGTCGGAAGGAAAATCACTCACCACTCCACCTGCCCGCAGGCCGCTGACACCTGGTTAGCAGCAGGGGTTGGTTCTGGGCCCTTTGTCTTTGTCCTCCGATAAACTTGATTAACCAGCCCTAGGAAAGTGATTAGTGAACCAAACTCTATTAATTAATCTCATGCCAGTGATTAGTGCTGATTAGAACCTCGCTGTTTTTTATTAACCTGGAATTTCTTTTTTTTTTCACAGTTTCGGTTAATCTATGCTGCTTGGAGATCTCCGCAACCGCAACGTCTCTGCTTTCCGTTCACCGCCATCCAAGCTACAATTGCCACGACGCCACGACGCGAAGCCACACCCCACGCCCCGCACCCACCCCGGAATAAACCAGCACCAACTGCCACCACTCCCTGCCGCTGGGCCCAGCATATGCCGTACCGGTGGGGGCCACACGTCCGTGACAGGTTCAACATTCGCCCCCCAACAGCTGCTGCCGCTTTGTAAAAGCGACGTGGTACCTCTCACTCTCTCTCCTCTCACTCTCACTCGTTGTACGGGTAGCTAGCTGCCTTCCGTTCTCCTTCGCTCGCGTCGCGTCGCTTCCACACCACTCCACTCCGCTGCTCCGCTCGCTCGCTCAGCCCCCTCCCCCTCGAGATCGCAGCGCGGCGGCGATGCCGAGCTCGCGGCGGACCACGGGCCGCGGCGGCGCAGGCGGAGGCGGCGCGGGGGCGGGTGATGCAGGAGGCGGCGGCGACGGCGACCGGGTGCCGCCGTTCATGGGCAACAACCGCGACCGCAACCCGCGGGAGCTGCGCTCCTGGGCGCGCCGCACGGGGTTCCACCCCTCGGCCTTCTTCTCGGGGGAGTCCAACTCCTCCTTCGCCTCCTCCGCCGCCGCGCCGCAGCCCCCCCCGCCGCCGCCGCCTCCCCTGGCCGCCTCGCGCCGCCCGCCGCGCCCGCCGCCGGAGCGGGAGCGGGACCCGGACACGGAGGACGACCTCGATCCCGCGCCGCCGCTGGACCTGGAGCGCGGGCCTGCGCCTGGCCGCGGACGCGGCGGCCGGGGCGGGCGCCCGCGCCGACGCATCGACCTCCGCGGCGAACTCGAGATCCCGCCGGGCTTCGGCCGCGAGGAGGCGGTGCCGAGGTCGGCGGAGCCGGACGCGGGGAGGGACTCCAGGAGGAGGAACGGCGGCGTCGAGAGGGATCAGACGCCGGCCAATGCGGGCCGGAACGGGAACGCAGCGGTCGCGGTCGCGGACGCGGAGGCGAGGAAGAAGGCCGAGGAGGCGGAGGCGAAGCGGAAGGCGGAGGAGGCCGAGGCGAGGAGGAAGAAGGAGGAGGAGGAGAGGGACGCCGAGCTGGCTGCGTACTACCAGGAACAGTGGGCGAACGAGGATGAGGGGGCTGCCGACGCTGCCGCGGCCGAGACGGCCCCGCTGTATGAGGCGTCGGGAGGACTCCGGTGCGGTGTAACCGAGAACCCCGGGTGGGGTGAGTTCGCTGCTCTCAAGCTTGTATTGCTCCATACGTATTCCATTCAGATGTACTAACATAATGGCGAATTGCAGCCTGCATTTTGTGCAGACGATTTTTTGTTGGTCGAGCCTTGATGATAGTGATGTTCTAGGAGTAATTAATAGTCCCCCTGATAGTGATAGTCGTCATACTTATACTTCAGTTCGTGTCCAATTATTTGCTACTAGTCGAAGTCAGTTTTGGTCGAATAATTGTCAATGTCGCTGGTTTCCATTGGTGAGTAATGAAGAAAAGGGTTGAAAATGGAACGAGATCTGTAGTGTGAATTGACTAAACCGGTCATTTCTTAAACCAGTAATAGTTGAAAAGCATTTTTTAGTATAAAAAACTTGGGAAATCAATAATTTTAGATGTGCATTCTGTGCATAACGTATCAATTCTTTATCTTTTAGATTGCATCATGGATTCATATCAAAAGTCTAGTAAACAATCTCCCATCCTGGTGTTATCATAGAGATATTAACAGGATTTATATCTCATTCCCATAACATAATCTGCCATCTTTTGAGTCCTACTAGTAGGAAATAAAAGAACTAAGGCTGGAGGTGTGGAGTCCTTTTAGCTGTCATCCCATCCCTTCCTGATTTAAGTGAAATAATTAGGGTCTAGGATTTAACAACACATCTTAGGTTTGCTGATAACTTTGCATCACTTTATTTGGCAAAGGATGAAATAGACAATCACACTTTTGTAGGAGCAGCATGTGTTAGATCATTTGTTAATGTATTGGTTGAGAGAATCCATTCCATGTTGTAAGGATCCCTTTTATGAGGGAAAATATTGGTAGAAAGGCTTCCATAATTTACCAACTAAAGGAAAATAGCTATACATATTTGTGATTCTTTCACTGTTTGATAAATTTTTATGTCAATTCAATTATAACTGCTATGATAACTATTGACATAATTTCCTTTTTCCAATTGCAGCGCCCCTCATATTTTATGGCATACAACATTACCTGTCAATGGCTGGTTCACTTGTCTTTGTTCCTTTGATACTGGTACCTGCAATGGGTGGTTCTGATGTATGAAGCTTTCCTTCCTTTCTTGATTGCACTTATTTACGTTGAAAACCACCTTCAAATAATAAATTCCTTTAATGTGGCAGGAGGATACTGCAACAGTCATCTCCACCATGTTATTAGTCTCCGGTCTTACTACAATACTACATACCTTTTTGGGTTCTCGGCTTCCATTGATTCAAGGAAGCTCCTTTGTATATTTGGCTCCGGCGTTGGTAATTGCGAACTCTGAGGAGTTCAGAAATCTTAGTGATAATGTATGATTCAATCCTAGAGCCCCATTTACTTTACCTGCACTTTATGTCCTGCATCATCTGAGATTTCTGAGAGACTCAAATGGGGTGACATCATGTAGTGTGTCAAGCTCAACTAACTGTTGGATATAAAGCCAGTGCATTTAGGATCCAAATTGGGGGCTGTTTGGAAAGGGGAGGTCCATCGTAGCTAAATCGCTAGGAGGATTCCTGGGGAATCTCTTCTTTTCGTGTACCAGGTGTTCAGATAATGGTGCAGAGTGCAGACAATGGAACTTAAGATGCTTTGGTGTCTGGCCTTAGAAGTTGATAGTAATTTTGCTTATGAACTATGCAAATTGACATGATATCTCCGAAGTAAGTAGACAAAAGAGCTCTTTCACAAAGTATATGTGCTGTGAGCTAAATTAGTAAATTTTGACACTTGTTCCAAGCTTTTTTGTACCAGTGAACTGAGTCAATTGGCGGCTAAATTTGCCTGTACTATCTATTGTCAGGGTGACACTCACCTCATGTGTATCCAGACCACCAAATACCCATGAAAGTCTCTCACAGTAGGGCAGCAGTTTAGTGTTCATGCTTCCTGCACCTTTTCCATCTTTACTCCCTACTGACCTACAGAGCAGCCAAGATCTTCATGTAATAATGTGTCGATGTCAATCCAATTCCCGTTGATATTTCCTTTGTAGTATATAAGAGGTTATGTTGTGGAATGGCCTGTGCTTGCACTGAACTATGCACATTCATCACTAGGTCAAACCTATCATCAGGATTTAGTTTTGTAGGTTGTGGGAAAAGCTTTTCACTTTTTTTTAAAAAACGGGCCTCAGATAATTTAAATGTGTTTTATATGATATGCAGAAATTCAAGCACATAATGAGGGAGCTACAGGGGGCTATACTTGTTGGTTCAGTATTCCAGATAATATTAGGATACACTGGTCTTATGTCACTGTTTCTGAGGTATGTCAAGAAACACACATGCTTAACTTTACAATCTAGAATACACCTCACAGAAATGGAATATGTTTAATGCCTAACTATGGCTTTACAGGTTAATAAATCCGGTAGTGGTGGCACCAACTATTGCTGCAGTGGGTTTGGCATTTTTTAGTTATGGTTTCCCTCAGGCTGGCAGCTGTGTAGAAATCAGCTTGCCCCTCATTCTGTTGGTTCTTCTGTGCACTCTGGTATAACCTTGCAGCTTTCTTTTGATGAACAAAAATCTTACCATTTTTGTTTCCTTGCCTGCTCTTTCTTAATACCTGTTTGTGTTTTAATCATGGTCACTGGACATGTTTTTTCCCCTTTGACTTGTATTGCTCCATATCTTACTGATTAATGTACTTATTCATTTCAGTACATGAGAAAAATATCCCTGTTTGGCAACCATATCTTCCTTGTCTATGCGGTACTTTTCTAATCCTCTCCCTTTACACCCTTTGTGCGGGTAGTTGGTTGTGTGCTGACTGCACTGGGATGTATTGGCAGGTGCCCCTCAGTGTTGCAATTGTATGGGCATATGCATTCTTCCTAACTGCTGGTGGAGCATATAACTTCAAAGGCTGCAGCTCAAATATACCCAGTTCAAACATATTATTGGATTCATGCAGAAGGCATTTAGAAACCATGAGACGCTGTCGTACTGATGTTTCTACTGCATGGAAAACTGCTGCCTGGGTGAGGGTTCCCTATCCATTCCAATGGGGCCCGCCAACATTTCATTTTAAGACGGGTATCATCATGATAATAGTTTCACTGGTTGCTTCGGTTGATTCGGTGAGTAGTTTCTATCAGCAGAACAGACACTCATCAGCAACTGTAAAAAAAAATACTTTGGAAGTTTGGATGCTTGATTTCTAGCATGCATTGACATGTTGGTGCATATGCAGCTTTCATCGTACCATGCTGCATCGCTGCTGGTAAATTTAAGCGCACCAACACGGGGAGTTGTCAGCAGAGGAATTGGGCTTGAAGGGATTTCAACTTTTATTGCTGGAGTGTGGGGTACAGCTACAGGATCGACAACATTAACAGAGAACATACACACCCTTGAAACAACCAAAATGGGCAGCAGGAGGGCTTTGCAGCTTGGGGCAGCCGTGTTAGTCATCTTCTCCTTCTTTGGTACGATGTGACACTTCTGTATTGCAATTATATCTCATTATTTATTTATGAAGTGCGGACTTCCTAAAGCTGAGTTCCTTGGCTGTAGGTAAAATCGGAGCTCTCCTAGCCTCTATACCTCTTGCCTTGGCCGCCTCTGTTCTATGCTTCACCTGGGCACTAATTATTGCACTCGGCTTGTCCACATTGCGATACACCCAAGCAGCAAGCTCCAGGAACATGATAATAGTTGGATTTACACTATTCATTTCCCTGTCAATCCCTGCATACTTTCAACAGTATGAACCCAGCTCCAACCTTATCTTGCCAAGCTATCTTCTTCCATATGCCGCAGCGTCAAGTGGACCAGTTCGCACAGTCAGCAGTGGGGTGAGCTCTCTCTCCCTTCATCACCCGTGCAGCTAGAATATCTTTCCATCAACCAAATTACTAACGGTCTAAAATGTCCTGCAGCTGAATTATGCAGTGAATGCACTCCTATCCATCAACGTTGTGGTGGCTCTCCTTGTCGCGTTGATCCTTGACAACACGGTGCCAGGCAGCAGACAGGAGCGTGGTGTGTACATTTGGACAGATCCCAAATCCCTCGAGGTGGATCCTGCGACATTGGAACCCTACCGATTGCCGGAAAAGATTTCATGCTGGTTCAAGTGGGCAAAGTGTATCGGCATTTAAAGGCTATGAGGAGTGGCGGTGAAGATTCTCTCTCTCTATATATGTATGTATACAGATGCTACATAGTTAGGGGCCTCTCTTGCTGCTGTTAGCTTCGAGGCCCTGTTTTCGTCGTTATTAGGTTAGGAAGAGGCCGAAGAGCCCATGTAAAGTTATGGTCATGTTAGAGGGGACAAGTTCTGCCCTGTAAAGTTATGGTCATGTTAGAGGGGACACGTTCTGCGAGCTATGTTATGTAAGTTTGTAGAAATGCTACGTTCAAATGACCATTTACGAATTTCAGATGAGGCGAATTCTACCAGTCTAGCTGTTACACGTCTGTGTTGACGCTTGAGTTTGAGAACACATTGCATGATTTAAGGATGTATATATATCATCAGTAGAGAGCCGCAACAATTGACGTCAATTGCTGTGTATAACAGATCAACAGTTTATAGATATAGCTCTTCCCTTGTTTTCAGCATTTAAAAGGTATAATAAGTAAATTAAACACAACGAATAGAATCTCTCGTCTCCAGGCACAAACATTTTTGTGCAGTTCAAAGATTACACACGACTAGGATACAATCTAAGGGTACAACAATAGTTCAGTTATGCCTCTCAACAATATGGTGCGCTGTGCGCGAGGTTGGGTTCAGTTATTCGTCGGGGTTGGCTTGCTGTACGAGCATCCTTTCCTGTTGCATACCGTGCGGAATGGGTAGTTCAGGTTGTTGCACTCTGGGCAGGTCCAGCTTCCTTCAGGGGCTTCCTTATTGCTATTGTCCTTGCGAGACAAGCTCGTGTTACCTCCCTACGAGAGTAGAGCAGTTGATTACATCGAAACACAATTTTAGAAGGAAGCAATTTGCATACACTATTTTTCTTCAAACGTCTTGCTAATTTGCACAGTGGTTAAGACAGGAAGGCATATCATTTCATCCGAAAAACTGTCCATGAAGGTTTGTGCACTTTATTTATACTGTGCCATATATACGAAAATACAAAAAGGAAACATAGAGAACCATCTTATAATATAAACACATTAAAAGATCTATCATTCACAAAATAAAAGTAGTATTGTTGTATTGACAGCAGTCCAAGAAAGGGGTAATCATGCTTACAGGAGTTGGCCTCGGGGCTCCACATTTCTTCATGTTGCAAGTGGTTCTGAAGGAAAAGTTAATGTTGTCACATTTGGGGCAGGTCCAGTCACCCTCAGAAAGTCCATCAGGGCCTACAGATAAGAATTTTCATAACAGCTGAGAAATCAGAAATGGGAACAAGAAAACTAGCGAAGGGAGAAGTGAACTGCAACAACTAAATATGAAAGAGCTATGATAAACATGGTTCTACCGCAAAAGAACAGGCTGATCAACATTATTTACTTCATGCAATTCTCAACATAGTGGCCTGTGTACTGAATCGATTAACTATAAACCTACTTCTGGGCTTGAAGGATAATATGTTTCAGTTTCACCAAACTGTTAAACTATTATCCACTCTCATTAGCTGACAATGTAAGTATAATCATACATATGATCTATAAATATGCCAAGAAATGCTGCCAGTTCTAGACTGAACTAATCTAATGATAGAAAAGACACAAAACTAACACTTTTTAAGACAGTTAACTATCATACCATGAGTTCATCAAAATAATTATTTTACATCAGGGCCAAACATAGCAAATCAGTAATTGATGAAGCCATTAAACTACAATGAGTCTGGAGAAACAAAATACATGCAATCAAAAGTATAATGATGTGAAAAGGATATTATCACTTACCTCCACGGCGCTTTCTTGAAGCAATGTTGTCATTGTTTTCAGCTAATGCTCCACCAGACCATGGGCTAGAAACCTATTTTAGACATAAAAACATGAGCGCAACCCCCCCAATAAAAAGGCCAATACACGTTTATGGTTTTACTGAAGACAAACCGGCATTGGAGAACCTCTAAACCCATAGCTATATCGGCCCAGCTCAGGTCCTGGGCCATATCCCATACCTGCAACAATTACCCAAAAAAAATAAGCCAATCAATTAAATGTTGAATAACCACAATTATCAGGTGTGGAAGAAACAAAAAAAAAACCATAAGCCAATCAATTAAATGTTGAATAACCACAATTATCAGGTGTGGAAGAAACACAGACCACTCATTGGCCCAAGTTGACCATATGACGAGAAAAGGCCATATGAACCAGGAGCTCCTACTGGTGGACCATAACCATATCGCATCCCAAGGTGTGGATATGGAGCACCATAGCTACCAGATCCAAGCGGAATTGGAGGTGGGGCGCCACCACCTCCTCCGTAAAATAGAGGTGACCGGTCATATCCAGCAGCAGGAGGTGCTGGCATCATTCTCTATAAAACAAACAGAAGTTATTAAAAAGACATCTCAAACAGTTGAATAGTCGATAACCCAGACATGATGCATAAACCTATTCCCTTTCGTATGGCTACCATGAAACACATCAAATTTTAAGCAATAAGTGTCATAAGTATTAATCGTAACTCCTTAACTAGCAGATGGTAGCAGGTGCTCATATAACATATATATACTAGAAAATCTCTAGAAACTGTGAATGAATATAAAATATTTGCGCACGTAATCTCCCAGGATGAAAAAAAGGAAGGGGGAACAACCAAACAAAGCTGACCTCCGGTGTTTAACATATGTTCCACTTGACACTACAGATCATTAATGACATTACTTAGGAAGAAAATCTATGACAACTTACAGGACTTGGACTCGGTGATGGACGGGGTGCACCACAGGCTCCACGGTTGCAAACATTTCTAAAACTGAAGTTGACATTACCACACTGAGGACAATTCCAGTCCCCCTCCCTTACAGACACTGAAAATAGTAGAACCTTCTCTTAACCAACAAGACTCAAGTAAAACAAGACATTGTAATTAGTTTCCTTTCCAAAAAGGGGTGGGGTGGGAAAAGAAGAGAGTATAATACATTTAACCCAGGGAGTTCTCTCAACAATGCTAAGTAAACCATGAAATTGACTATCGATAAACACATCCATGAACTCTTGCGCACAGAAAGCAACCACAGCAAGCTACATTTTATTGTGTCATAGCTTTACAAACTCATTCTTCCGTCTTCAGGTGACGGACTCTCAAACTCCAGCAACTACTTTACACAGGCATAAGATTAACCACGAGTGGAATCCACACAGCACTAATCAGAACCAAATTAGATAAAAGGCTATCCCCTTATAGAACTAGAAATTGTTCTCCATGAGGACTCCATACAATACACATATAGGATAGACTAAAATGGTGACCACGACACACTGCCATCCAAGTGCCTAAAACTAACCAAAACAAACCAGTAGTCGAGTGAAACATAGTCGAAATTCCCCAAACTCCTTACAAAAGATTCTGGTGAACCTAGGTCAATTCTAGCACATATTCTCCTAATTTCATCTATTAGAGCCGCTCCTGTCGCTCGTGTCTCTGAAATATGGCTCAGCTGTTCTTGCGATTGATCAATCCCTAATTCCCAAACAAAAAAACAAACAAATCCTGTCCGACAAGATCTCAGTTTGCAACTCGACTAAACCCTAACTCCGGCCTGACAAGAGAGCGAAAAACAGATCAGAGTGGGGAAGTGCCTCACCGTCGTTGCGTGACCTTTTCGACAGCGCGCCTCGGTTCTCCACCTGCGCGACAGCACCGAACTTACCCAAACAAATAGATCACAAACAAAAGAGAAAAAAAAAACCGTCAGAAACCAAACCCTAAGCCGACGCCAGCGCCATAATCGAATTGAACCGTAGACAATGGGAAAAGGTACCTTGGCGGAAGCCATCGGCGACGAGACGGAACACGGCGGCGGCGGCGGCGGCGGCGCCGAGAGAAGGGAAAGGCCGCTGCGCGATAAATGGAGGCGAGAGAGAGAGAGAGGGAGAGAGAGAGAGAGGGTAAGTAGAATTATTCTTTACTTATTTATATTTATTTGTTTATTATGAGGATGGGATTGGATTCGCTGCGCTGGCCACGCGCCGCGGTGCGGTGGCCGTGTCCAAGGGCCCCGAGCACCGAGCTGCGACTGCGAGCGGGCCTGCAATAGCCCTGTTCATGGGTGGGTCCAAACCGGTGAGCCCATGGGCCATGGAATCTGTAGTGTCCATTTGCCACGCGTTTGATTGGAGCGTCTCCAGGAAATTAGCTAAACTGTTTTGTAAAGCTAAACTTAGCTATTATTAGACTTAAAACGTCTCCAACAGGCTAGCTAAGTGCCTCTCCAAATTTACATCCTCTCCAATCCTCCGTATTCGCTAGCTATAGATGGAGTCGCTCCCTAGCTCGCCATCTCTCATCTTTGCCGCGCGGGGCGGCCTCTTCCCGCGCATCCGCGGCTACCCGTGCTCAGTCTTCTGTTTCCTCATATTGCTTCTAGGTCCCCGTGCTTACTGCTGCCGGAATCTATGTCCGTGCCGCCGTGTCCCCATCCCGTGGCACCTGCGCTGTTGGCCTCTCAAGCCTGGTGGCTGGCTAGCTAGCAGGCTGTAATTTGGCGAAGGTGACTTCCAGGCATCGTAGGAGACGAACGACGAGGTCTACGCCATCCGAAAAGACGGGAGCTCGGATGACGTGGTAGGTTTTTGAATATAGAGAGTTTCAATTTAGATAGTTTGTTGGGTAGTCTAGTGTTTTTAAGTAAGATTCATTTTAGAAAATAGCTAAATTACTAAATTTGGATACTTATTTTGGCTAATCTCTTGAAGATGCTCTTAGATTGCGATTATAAAAATTTAAAGTCCCATCCGTTGTGAGAAAAAAACGACGAGGTGATGGCGTCGACGGTGGCTTCGTGTAGGATCTCTGGTTGGCCTAGAGGAGAGTGAATAGGCCTGTCAAAACAAACACTCAAACTTTTATTAAATTCACCCTGCGGCACTGCCGCTCTAGAGGACGGCACTGCCGGACCAAAACAGCGGCACTACCGCACCTGCAGACAACTTCGAGTCATACTTTAAAATCAGTAAACGGAAACTTAGATCGGAGAATTTTTTTAGCTTACCACGGGTATTATAGTCACATATCAAGAGCTACAATGAGTAGGAACACCACACACAAGTAGATTGACTAGAAACCCTAAAAATCACCTCAACCAACAATATGAAATATAAGTAATGTAAATCAAGCACAAGTGACACAATGATTTATCCCGTGGTTCGGCTCGCCACTAAGGCTTGCCTACCTCCACGTTGTTGAGGTTAGCCACTAAGGCTTAGGGCTTTCCAACCCTTCCTCGTTCTCAAGTCAAGAGACTTAGCTCTTAAGATGAGTGGTGAGTATACTAGCTTTAAGAGATGGTTATAAACCTCTTAGAGCTATCATACAAGTTGGCAAGCTCCACAGGCGATGCCCTAACCAGCTAGGAGTCAAACTCCAAGACTAACAAACACAACCACCGACCAAAACGTGAACCAAGTGCTCTTTTGAGTTGGAGAATCAATAGAGCTGCTCTCTAATCGAGTTTTGGACCCTTTTCCCTCAAGAATTGGTGGGGAAATCAATGAATTTGCTTGGGGGGCTTCAGGTCAACAATGAAGAGAAAGAGAGAGAGAGCTCCTTTTCTATTTGGAGTGCTGGAATCAGTTGGAGGAGGAAGAGAGACGTTGGTGAGGAAGAGGATGGGTATAAATACCCCCTCAGCCCCAACGGTCACTTAAGTCGCTGTAGTGCCTCTCTTCAAGTGCGGCAGCGCCGCACCACGCAAGACAACAAGGGTAAGAGTAAAGTGTAGATTGTCTTGGCTGTGAATCTGAGAATGCATGTGTATGTTTGGGCACTTGGTAGCACATATTAGCTTAAGCATTGTGTCCCCCTTTATAGTACGACTTTTTCTATACTCAAATTCAAAATATAAAAGAATTTAAATCTCCTTTGAGTTTGAAGCCATCTACATTTGTAATTGGGGGCTCCTCCGTTTCGTGTAGCATCCTCGAATATAAATTCCCTACTTGTCATCTCGATAAATCTCATTAGTTCTCTAATTGCGTGGTCATTATCACCAAAACCCACAATTAGGGCTTGATTGCACTTTCAATCTTCCCTTTTTGATGATTGATGACAACCCAATTAGAGCTTACAAAAGTTATGAAATAAATAGTGAGATTTTCAAGCCATGAGTTTAGAGCCTCCCCATAAGTATGTGAATAGAGAATTGAATTATCAAATTAGCATAAGAAGCCAAGATTTACATTTTAGTGAAAGTGATGGGGCTTCAATACATCCATGCTCCTGTGGGGTGCTGCATACTATGTCATGTATGTAAAACATGATGCAAATAACAACTTATGCACAATCATGGTTTGCTGTTGTAGCTGGGTGCGGCACTGCCGCACTTGCTGTAACAGCACATATCAGAATAGACACCACACAGCATGTGATACATATAAAGATATATATTCTAGCATAATTGTATCACGAGCGACAGCATAGATTAATATATGTCTATATCCCACACATATAAAAAATACTTAAGTAGCATTATTACATAAAAATAGAGTTTCTAAAGGACTCTCAAACTCTCACCTAACGAAGACTACTCTAAATGGATACGAATATGACTTGTAACTGCAGCAACCTCTATGACGTCGAAAAAGTTGTTGACCCCTCTAATTTTCTCTATCTTTGGCATAAAGCACAAAAAAGATAAGAAAAGAAGAAAAACCAACACTCACTTCTCATCCTCTTGGATGGTGTTCCAATCGACATCATCCCCACCAGTAGCTCTACTAGCACCTACAACATCCTCCTCTCCACCATCATCATCATCGGAGGAGGAGGAGGAGGAAGAAGAAGACACCATCGCCCTCTCTTAGCGATGAGTGGTCGAAGTGTGTCGCTCACGCCTGGTGCTTCTCCTCATGGACTACAAGGTGGATCTCTGTAACACCCTCGGTGTTACACCGTAAATCGTTTACTAAAACACTACATGAGCATCATGTTTATGTGTTAATGCATGTAATAAAGGGTGTATATAAATTTCCACAACTCAAAACGATCAACGAAAGTGCGAAACGAAAATTAATTCAATAGTCGTGTTATATCACTTAGGGTTTAAAACCAAATTTTATTAAGCAAAAATGCTATAGAACATGTATGTGATACTTAAATAAGGTTTGAAGTGCAAACTTTGTAGATGACAATGAAATACTTGTTGTCGAAAAATATTATTGTTAGATAATATTTCTAATAGCTTAGAGATGGAACTTGGATTAAAATTCAGCCCAAGACCTAGTGATTTTCAAAGTTGAAAACGGTGTGACAGTGCTATTTTGACATTTAATTTTTAACAAAAATGTTTAAACACTAACTTCATGTTCGTGCATAGTTGGTTGCATCAAAATGAGCACTTGAGCATGGTGTAGTGCTTAGAGGTGTTTGAGCTGGTCGGAGCCAGTTAAGAATGTCTCGAGTGCTGCAGTTTAGCACTGCTAATGGCTACTCTGAGCCATGGCCACGATCATCACGCTGCGTTGTCGCACCATGCCCATGGCCGCTGGGCGTGCCCTATCACGTGTACTGCGCCGCTATCTCACGCGCACCGTTCCTGGCTTACTGCTAGCGTTGCTGAGCGGGCGTACGAAGCCGCGCTGAGTCGCTGTTGCCTGCGTCGTGCTATGTCATCACGCCCGGGCCCTGCCAGCCGCGCTGCTTCCCTGTACACCATAACAAGCCAAACCACACACACCTGCCACACACATGCACTTACGCATTGTCGGCATGAAATTTCATCCTATGCCGAGGGCACACGAGCAAGCCGGAAGGGTCCGCTCGATGGAGCTGGAGATCCGCCTAGCTTCAGCATAGGGATGGTCGATCCTGCGCACTCCTCCCGAGACATGCCAGTCAATTTGACCCTACAATTGACAAGGAGAGAAAGCTAATCAGTAATTTAAGGCGGAACATACCGGTGTTGCTAGACAGTCCCGAATGTGCGGCTCTGAGAGCCCATATGGAAGGAAGTCGACTAAAGAGTCGATTCCAGTATACTCATAAGAATAAATCAATTAAGGATCATAAAATTATAGAAGGTAAATCGGTTATCGCTCAGGATAGATCTTGTTACTTAGATAAACATTAGTCAATGGCAAAAGGATGTCGACAACGATTAATTTATGCTAAGCCAATGACTGCAAGTAACCGAATCCCTTTTTATATAAAAGAAATATCTCATCATCATTTAACCATTTAATAAAGATAAATCTAATGAACATATTAGATCTCATATATCGCTATGACTAGTGGGGCATGAGGCAGAATCATGTAGGCTGTAGAAACAACAATAGATTCGACGACCCTAACTTATTACTAATATCAGTAAGGCATGAGGCAGAATCATACAGGCCATAATACAATATTAAGATCATGGGCTAACACATCTTTCAACCTATCTTTACTTCAATGATCTCGTGACGTGAACTGTTCGTGAAAGCACTCGATATCGGCTAAAACAGCCGATTCAGGCATAGCGCATAGTTAAGGTCATGCCCTATCAGGAACAGATCTACCAAGTAACAATCCCCACTCCACGGGGCTAATAGTGGGGTGTGAGGCAGAACCACACATGATGTGATAACGGGCCATGGAACGGTTTTCACTAGCCAACAGATCTAGTCAAGACAAAACATGCCTTAACCGCACACTATGCGTGATCAAGATTGACATAAAACGGCCGATGAAACGTAACTCATCGTTTAAGCTGCAGATTAGATCAAATTTAGATTAACAAACAATGGGTTAAGAAGGATATAAGGCTGATCTAGATCAATCCCAATCGGGCAAAGTGATATT